GGCCAAGTGCCCCTCCACCAAGCCACACAGAATCGACCTTCATCGGCGGCTCCTTGGGAGTCGTATCGGCGGACATGCTTGGGCGTCTTATAAAGGCGGGGTCACTTGCAGTAATTGCGGCCTCCGATTGTCTAGGGCGCTCACCTTGCCTAAAGCTAGTCACCTCAGCGAGAGGAGCTGCTTGGCGTGGGGTGATGCGAGGGCACTTGCAGAATGGCACGTTCATCCCTCGCATGATTTTGTTTTCGACGGGCGACGGTGGTGCTGTAGGCGCTGCCGCCGAAGAGGTCCGTTAAACTTTAGCCGACGGTGGCTTGGACTTTGCAAGGCTTAGGCCTAGCTCCAGCTCTGCTGTGGTTGTTAGGAAAAAACTACAGTGATCGTGATCGCCAACATGATCAGATGTACCATGATGGTGACCATGAGAAGGATAGCTGTCACAGAATTGCTGATCATCTTTGTTCCACTAAGTGATAAGAGTTCGGCCTTGTTGGAGCACTCGGGTATGATCGAGACTGTGCCCAGATACAGCAGCTGGAGAGTGATACGGCACTTCGGCTGCACATGCCGGGCGGCCGCCACACAAGCATGCATGGTTCATTAATGTAAGTAGGCGCGTGTATCCGCAGGTTCCAGTGTTTGCTTGCTGTTGTGACTTACCGAACGTAAGAAGAGCCATGTGCTGAGAGTTCGTGCCGTGTGAGCTGTCACGGCACGAGGAGCGATGCATGTGCCTTACAACAGCTTCACAGCTAGCAGCTTTCTGGGCAGAGCCCTTCAAGCGCACTGACAGTGATGCGGCCACGGCATGCAAAGTGGTTCCTTGTTTTGGGGTCATGAGGATGCAGAGAACATGCAGATCCCAGTTCCCTGCTTTGCCTGCGCATCCGAGGCAGCTTTGCGCGAGGACTTGACAAACCTCTTCTCCAGGCAAGCGGCTTTTCGCTCGCAGGGGCAGTCCACGCCTTTCTTCCCCCGAACCACTACTCGAATCGTTCAGGCTTCGATGCTGTACGATATTATAGTCTGAAGCCCTCCCCGCAGGCCTCGGTGTAGTTTTAAGATTTCCCTAAGCCCTAAGTATAGTCATAGTCTTAAGCCTGCCCCCAAACCCCTAAACCCAAACCCCAAACCCAAACCCCAAACCCAAACCCCTAAACCCAAACCCCAGCCCCCAAACCCGAAACCTTCACTGCTAGGTGGAAAAAGGTGCTT